GGCTGCTCCCAAAACAGTTGGTGGCTTGAATCTATTCAGAGATGCTTTGAAAGAAAGGCCTGACAATCACCTTCTGAAAAACCAGCAATTGAAAACCCCGTGGAGCCCAGTTCTAATCTGACCCATGTAGGGTCTCCATGAGTCAGAATTAACTCAAGGGCAACTGGGATCTACAACTACTACAGAGGCTGTGTGAGCCCCTGAAAATATGACCCTTAGATCATTTTTAAGCCTTAAACTAAAAGAAATCACTGTCTAGAGCAGGGGTCCTCAAACTTTTTAAACAGGGGGTCAGTTCACCATCCCTCAGACCCGTTGGAGGGCTGGACTATAGTTTTAAAAAAACTATGAACAAATTCCTATGCACACTGCACATATCTTATTTTGAAGTAAAAAACCAAATGGGGCAAAAACACCCAGTGGGCCGGATAAATGTCCTCGGTGGGCCGCATGTGGCCCGCGGGCCGTAGTTTGAGGACCCCTGATCTAGAGATTAGCGCCTTGTCCCAAATGTCACAGCCAAATTTTGGGCTGTTAGGAGGCTCATGCACTGGTACAGGTGAGAGGAGAAGATGGCTGAGACCAGGATCACACTAGTGGAACAGATGAGAGGTGGCCAGATTTGGACATGGGGCAGATGGTATTTGGTGGCAGTTGGCTATGTGTTGTGAGAGAAAGCGAGGAAGCAACAGTGACTCCAGGCCTTTGGCCTTAGCTAAACGGAGACCCTACCAGGATTCAGTCTGGGAATGTCCTTGTATTCAGTTGTCTTATATCTTTAACCAGTTGTCCATGGAGCGGATTCCAACTTACGGTGATGCTGTGAGTATCAGAGTAGAACTGTGCTCCATAGAAGTTTTAATAACTAAAGTTTGGGGAGGTCGATCACCATCTTTTTCTTCCAAGGTCCCTCTGGGTGGACTCAATCTCCAACTTTTTATTTAACAGCTGAGTACGCTGCCCATTGATAACCACCTAAGGACACCTGTGTGGTTTGAGCTTGCTTTTGGGGGGAATAGTTTCTTTGTCTCTTTTGTTTGTTTGTTTGTGACCAAAACTGCTTGGACGCAGACAGGCTGGTTTTTTGTTTTGTTTCTGTTTGCTTGTTTTTGTAGAACGATCTTCCCTTTTAGTTTGTCTGGTGGTCTCCTGATGCCTGGGTGAGTGGATGTATTTTGGTGAGAATTTGTGTTCTTCTCACATCGCATCACGAGGCCCCTGATGTCAGTCTGACCTTTCCTTGCCAACCTGGTTCCATTTGTGTGTGTCTGGATTCTTTCTTCCTAAAGTGGTAAAATCGACACCATGAAAAGTTGCCACTTTGGTGATTGTTACGTGTTCATCAGGTGGGAGGGGGCATGGATTGTATCCCCTTGTTGTGCTACCGTCAGCACTGTCCATTTCTAGTCGTTGCGTTGCCCCCAGCGGAAGCTGTACCCTGGGAGCTCCCACTCTGCACTCCGTCCTTCCTGCAGCCCGGGAATTACTCATCCGTTTTGTCATGGGTCCTTCATGCATGTGAATGTGTGTCCTTCTGTATGTAACATGTTTAGTACAATGTTTGCAAGTTCATTCATCCTGGTTAAGACTTCTGATAGCCTTTAAAGTAATTTTTTGGGAAAAAAAAAATTTTTTTTTGGTAAAGGAATCCTGATCCAAATGGGAAAAATGAAGAAGAGAACTTCAAATTCTCACAGAATCCAGAATTTTGGACACGAAAGCGGCTGGATGAGCCCCTGAAACTGTTGCCCTGGGATCGTCTTTAACCTTGAACGGAAGAACTCGGTACACGGGGATTCGTCCCTTGCCCCAGACACCACTGCCAATTTATTTTCCCCAAACTTTGATGTCCCTTTTTACTCTTTTTTATTTTGCCTTTAAAA